TGAAACTCCTGTATAAAGGTGATGGCCAAGTGCTCAGGAAATGCTCCAAACACTTCTTGGACTGAATATTCACCATATTTGTGAAGAACTCAAAAGTTTAAGTGTGCCAGCATTAGATATCATCAGATTTGGCCTCCTTCCTCCATGCCTGGTTCTCCATCTTGGACCTTGAAACAGGCCATGCCAGCGTTTCCTGAAGAAGCATGGCAGAATTAGCATGTCTTCTGCCAGCACCTGGAAAGCAATGTTCCTGTCAGGTAAATAGAAGAACCGTACTCTCTGGTAAATGTGTGCATGTGACTGGTTGTATTAATCACAGTGCTGTTAATATGTGGTAGCCATAAAGTGATCTGTGTTTTGCAAATTTTCCCTTGAGTCTGGTCTCACAGCCATGGTTATCCACTAGCTAGTTCACTGGGCCAAGGTCCAGGGCATCTGAAGAAGTGCCTAGTGGCCAGGCCACTTCCAGAGTGGTCCTCTGATGAGGGCAGCAGAGCTGAGGGGCTGCAGACCCTGCTTGCTGGACACTTTAAACACACAGTGGCTTCCTGAGCAGAAAGGACAAGTTGCTATGCTACAAAGTTGTGAAAAGGAAATCTAAATGGATATGGGGAAAAACCTCTGTTCACCTTGAGGGTGGTTAAGCACAGGGACAGATCAGAGGGGTTGCGACATTGCCATCTTTGGAGACTGCTAAACCGCAACTGGACAAGTCCCTGAGCAAAGCAATCTTATGTTGAAGATTGTCCTCCTCTAACAGTATGAATGGTCAGAAAAGCATAGGTTCAGCACTTTCATTCTCCATGGTGCAAGAGTGGATTTTGTGGACTATAAGCATAACTCAGTCCCATAAAGAAACAATTTTGCAATTTATTTTCCTTTTTTCTTTTTTTTTTCTTTTTTTTTTTTTTTCACAAAAGCCATGGTCTAGGTTGGAAAAAAATATTTTTGTGATAATATCACAGACATGATTTTTTTATTGCTAACACTGAGTAATAGAATAGAATAGACTATTTCAGTTGGAAGGGACCTAGAATGATCATCTAGTCCAACTGGCTAACCAAAAGTTAAAGCCTGTTGTTAAGGGCATATGCCCTTAAACACTGACAGGTTTGGGGCATCAACTGCCTGTTTAAGAAGCCTGTTTCAGTGCCTCTCAGTGAAGAAATGTTTTCTAACATCCAGTTTAAACCTCCCCTGATGGACGCAGCTTTGAACCTGCAGCTTCTTTGGAAACACTAAAATATCAAGTCCTGTAAGGAAAATAAAAACACTGATGCTTATAAGACAGAATTGATTTTATTTTAAGGTTGTTTCTTTTTTTCTTACCTAGGCTTGTTCCATTGAAGAGCTGCTCCTGTATTGAACAAAAAATTCCTTCCTTTAGGAAGGAATCCTAAAACCTGGGAAAATAACCACAAGGATCTGTTTCATTTAAGTCTGACTTGGTAACCTTCTAAAAGGTCATTTAATCCCATCCATTGAGTTCCGTCCATTTGTATAGGTAAGTGTTTATGTTATCATCTTGTTAGCCATAATTTCTTGATTACAAGGGTGAAAGCAGGAAAACAGGACCTTTCCCTGGCAGTGCTCAGCTCTGAAAAATTGGACACAGGGGCTTGCTAAGGTATATCTGTAGGTACAAGTATTTCTGTATAACTATACTGTTGCTTTGCACCTGATGACTTTATTCTGACATTTTGGAGGTGGTTGTTACATCAGCCAATACACTGTCTTTGGTAAGCTACAGCATCTCTGGCAGAATCCCAAAACAGTGGCATAATTCAGGTTGTCAGGGTCCTCAGGAGCTTCAGGTCAAACCTCCCACACAAAGCATGGCCAGTTACAACAGGTTGCTCAGGGTCTCTCCAGTGAAGTTTTGAAAACCTCCAAGGCTGAAGATCCCACAGCTTCTCTGGGCAGTTGCTCCAGTGTTTGATTACCCTCATGGTGAAAACAATTTTCCTTCTGTTTAATCAGACTCTGCCTTGTTGTAGCTTGTGTCTGTTGCCTCTTGATCTATTGTTGTGCAGCTCTGCAAAGCTTGGCTCCACTTTTTCTGCACGTGGCCATTGGGTAGTTGCAGACACCAATACACTCTCTGCTTGGACTTTTCCTTTTTAAGGCTGAACATGCCCAGCTCCCTCAGCCCCTCCTCACATGTTGTGTCCTCCAGCCCTCTGCCGGACTCACTCCAGTATGTTGGTGTCTATCTTGCACTGGAGGCCCCACGTCTGCATGCAGGTCTCTAGATGTGGTCTCACATGTGCTGAATAGAGGGGACTAATAAATTCCCTTGACTTTCAGCTGTGCTTTTGTAAATGAAGCCCAGTATACTGTTGGTTTTCTTTGCCTCAAGGACATACTGCTGATATATGTGCAACTCCCACCCCTGGTTGTGGCTTCTTTTATTGTAAAGCTGTTCCCTAACTCACCTACCTAGTCTGAATTGCTGCATGGGGTTAGTTTGCCTCAGATGCGGGACTTTGCATTTGTCTTAGTTGAATTTCAAGAAGTACCTGACAACTAATTTTTCAGCATCTTGAGGTCTGCCTTGAAAGGTAGTCCTGCCCTCCTTGTAACAACTGCCCATCCCATGTTCCAGGAGAGCAGCTGACACACTTACATTATTGCACACCTCCCCAGATCCAGATTTGGTGTGGTCCACAAACTTGCTGAAAGTGTGCTCTGTTGTGTCCTGTAGGTTGTTAATAATGACATTAGATGGTATGGCCCCAATATTGACTTCCTAAAGAATGCTACTAGAAACTGTCTCCAGTTTGACTTTATCTGGACAGTTGGGCTCAAAGGATGGTCATCAGCAGTACACTTTTCACCTGTCATAGTTAGCTACCCAGTCCATGTCACCAGTTTGACTATAAGTTGTTTTAAAAAAAAATAAATAAAAACCAACAGAAGAATCCTTTTATTTTCAAAGTTCGATCAATCCATGAAAGAAAGCAGCACATTTCTGCAAAGCCCAAATAACTGTACAGCTCATCCTGCAGATAGATTTTTCCCACCAGAAAGGAAGTGCCTGTTAAAGAGAAGGAACCAGGAAGAGAGCCAAGACCAACTGTGGCCAGCATGGTTCTGCTGCCTTTAGAAACACATTACACCCTTCACACTTCTCCTTCCAGTGTTGCTCTCCTTAAAATTACTGAACACCCAGGTGAGGATCCATTTAACCACATTTTAGCATCCCTGTTGTATCCTATGTCAGGGCTGCCCTGTATATTTTGATTTTCATTCACAGGTCCTATGATGGAAGAAATGGAGCAAAACTCTCCACCAGAGAATGTTGCCTGGCTGTATGAGCAGCCATCTTTCCATTACACTTTGGAGGAAATCAGGTTGTCTTCCAGTGAGTTCCAGTCACCAAATTATTTTATTGTTACAATATGATGAAGCGATTTTTATTTTGTGCACTTCATGGTGCTCAAAATGTTAGTTTTCACAGTATAGAATGGATGTGACAGCATTTGTGATTGGAAGCACTTAGCAGAGTATGTTGCAACTTCATTTAGTTGTGCTGTTTTATGAAGTTCTGCAGTAAAATGTGCCAGCAAATTATGCTGTATTAGTTTCTTTCCGGTGATTAACTAATCATTCATATAATAAATAGCAGCTAACTACAAGAAAGAGATTTATTTGTCACAGAGTTAGAAGAATGTCAAACTTTTCCCATTTCATGTAAAAAGGCAGAGGAAAAAATACTTCTAAAATGAATTTGCAACATATGCTTTATTTTAAGTCATTACTGAATCAAAACTACACAGTATACCCTTTTAACACACCCTACCCACTCAATGTTTTTTTTTCCTCAATAATTTTTTTAACATGGAATGAAACCTACATTGCAATTGTAAATTTTCATGCTACAATGTTCTCTAATGAGACATTTGTGTCACTAATAATAGTAATTTAAGAAAAAGGCAATTTTTCAAGCTCATATATATGTCTATATTTGGGAACTTAAAAAAAAACCCGTCTCGGATGTAAAAATGTGACTTGGAATATGTAAACATTTTCATATACCTGAAACACTGGAAGAAGAGTGTCAGCTATCAGTAAAACAACGGTTGCCTTAAATCATCGAAATGGGAAAAAGCATGTCATGGGGAGCAGAGAAAAGCACACACTATTCAGTCTTTAAAGGGTTATAAGAAATGAAGTAGCTCCTTAGGTCATTTAATTCACTTTCTTTTCTTATCTAATGGAAAGCAGTAACTTTGAAGAGAATGGCCCAGCAGAACACCCCAATAATTCACCATAATTATTCTAGCCATGAGTTAACCTTGACAAACTATCAAGTTTCTTTTTTTTTTTTTTTTCCTGAGAAAAGTCATTGTGTTTGGTGGAAACGTCTTCTGCGACTGTACAAATAAAATAAGGCATTTAAAGAGATTGTTACTTGTTTTCTTTTTGCTAACAGAGGCTTGTCCACGGTGTCCTTTGTACATCAAAACCTCTGATTTTTTACAAATGGGTATGGCTAGAATGTCTTCAGCTCCCACTGCGGCCCTGCGTCTTGGGTGTCCTGAAGGCTAGTCAGCATCCTATTACTGTAGCTTGAAAGTCAGTGATGTACAACAGCATATTGCACAATCCAATCTGTAGGGCTCCAGAAAGGGTTAAGAAGGTACGCTGGAGTCATCTGTGGGTTCACTCCTTTCTTTTCTCTTTAAGTTGTAATGATCGCCTGGAAAATTAAATTAGCCAGACAAAGATGCAAACTTTTTGTTGATTAAATTACAAAGCAGTCCCCAGATTGTAGAGGAGTGGCACATTAAAAACAACAAGTCATCCACCCTTCTTCACTGTTGATCCTTAATTTGAAAGGCAGCATGGATTCCTAAGGCCATAGCTTCCAGGACTCCTTCAGTGAAAAATCATTGCTACCTAACTATAAAAGGCTTAGCTCTTAAGAGAATATTGTGCTTTTTTAATTTTTCCTTTAAAATTCAGATGAAATCAACTTGATTCGCAGTGTGACACCAAAGAGATCAATTAGTTTTTTCCCTAGTCCATTTGATCATAGTCTCTGGTGAGCGATACAGGAATATTAGTTTGGCATACAGGTCTTCTTCTAGTTCCAGTTCTCCAGTCTCTCGCACTAAGAAAATGTCAGTACACAACTTCAAGATTCGGTCTACATTGGGCAACTCCTCAAACATGATGGAGTGAGAGATCCCACTGAAAAATTCACGGACGAACTTCCCTATCACCAGAACAACCGAGGCATATAGTCCCATGATGCTGAAAAGACAGAAAGGAAAGAGTTCAATTCATGCCTTGAAGAAGGGTCAGCCAAGTGTGAGTGAGCTCATCTACATGGCTAAGTGTAGTTTATCAGGTGAGTGAACATTAATTTCTAATTAGGATCTTGTTTCTGCTGTGCTGCAGGATGAAGGAAAATAAGGTCTCTTCAAACACCACAGAAATCTGGGAACATAAACAGCTGAGGCTGCTGACTTAAATAGTTCAACCCCAGTCGCTGATGGTCTCACGGCTTGTTTGCTACAGCTTGGAAATCACAAAGGGAAATCTGACAACTGCTGGCTGCTAAAGGCAAATGATCTGTCAGGTTTCATATCTAATATTTTTTATCAAAGTACACGTAACTGGTGGCAGACTAACGTTTACCTGTCCTCCCCTAATAATTATGCTATGAGGAGTTCTCCAAAATCATGCCAGAAGGGCGTATCTCCCATGAAGGCACAGTCTCCTGCCTTCCTCTGTCTGTGGATATGTATTTCACAACTGTTTCACACCCAGGGTCCTGATGGCTATAAGATTGGGAAGGTCACCAAAACCGGGCAGAGTTTGGGCAGAACTTGACCTATAGCTAAACTAACATCTTTTGAATTATTTTACTTCAACAGGAAATTGGTGCCAAGGGTGCTTCTGCCTTTTTTCCCACCGGAGAGCACGTATCAAGGGTAATACAATTCCTTACAAATATGAAGCCTTCTATAGATATGAATTTGAAAAATCTCACAAAACTCCTTCTCAAAACGTTGTAATGTTCAAACACTGCAAGAACAAAGAAGACATAAACCCCCAAACCACCAAATAAAGGCATTTCTACTTCTATCTTATCTCTATTATTTTAATTTTACGTAAAGGTTTCTTCTTACCCATAACCAGCCAGGAATCCAAGGCTTGGTGGACTGACTTTGTCACTGAATATGAATAGTTCAAGGCTCTCTTCAGATGTTTTGTATCTTTTTCCAAGCTGATTCAAAACCCACCACTCACGCACTCCTTCATCAGACACATTTTTGACCAGGGAAACTGTAATGTTTTCCCATCTGCAGTCTATTGAAAAAAAAGAGAAATATTTATATAAATATTGCAAAATATTGCAAGAATTGCAGAAGTCAAACTGGTTTGAGTCAGACACTTCAAACATCTGCATAAGCAATATAGGAGTAAAGGTTCATTATCATTCTCCTAAAACACATTTTACGTTATTTCTATACAAAAGTATAATCTAGACTTCTGTGGTTTTCCTTCTGCAAATCTTATCTGAATGTGCATTAAATAAATAAAATGTTTCATATCACCTACATTTTCTTCTGTACAACTGTCAAATCATTTCAATATTTTCAGGCCAAATAGACAGCACGTCTGCATTTCAGGCCTAAAGAAACTCATTTAACCTGGAGGTCTAGTGGTTAGTTTCTAAGTCAAAGTGCATCCATCACTAAATAATTTATGTCTTGGTATAAAAGATGTTATTCTCTTACATTAAGAAAAGCATACTATCCTATTATGAATACTGATCACACAGACAGGAGGTAAACTCTGGCCCTCCTGATTTCTGAGGAACATACATTAGCAGTATATACATTAAAGCCCTTTTGAAGAATCTCAGATTAAGAGTTCTTCAGGACAGGACCTGACTAATGACAGTGAAGCACTTGTAACTTATTGCTACTCACAGAGCTAGGTTCAGCTAAGAATTATTTTTCCCAGTTAATCTAATTATGCTCACCGAACCTTGAACAGTAATGTGCTACATAATAATGTACTACATAGCACTACTACTACGCCTGAGCACCACATTTAACCTCTGTTGATCAAAGTGTTCTTAGATAAGGACTTGTTCCTACTCTTCCAAACCAACAGGTTTTTCACAGGCACTAATATGCACAGGTGTGCATGTATTCTGTATGTCTGTGAGTACCTGAATGCATTCTGATTGGGTAATAGCACTCTGAAATTCAATGATTTATCTAAACTGGATTCTTTGTAGCCAATAAGGAAGGAATAGCTAAAAATAAAAAAATAAAAAAAACCCAGTGTCACTATTTAAGCTGAGGAGTGACATTTGCAGACATGCAGCACTACTGGCTGTGATAAGGTACCACCAGGGAGATGTGGAGAAGTGAAACTTGTCACCACTTCTTCAGAAAACAAGGGAAAGCAGTTCCTGAAAGCAGACCTGAAGGAAAAGAGTCAGACTTCATCCTTAGAGTCCTTACTGTTAAATACCAAGCTAAAATACATCCAGATGCATTTTCTGCCTTATACGGTATTAACTCATCTCTCCCCAAGCTTGCAGGCACCAGATAGAAAGCACTGTGAGTGCATTTCTGCCTGAGGTGCCCCATAACAGCTCAGTGAACGTGCAAGTGTGAGTGCTGTGTTGCATTTCTTTCAAGCATACTGTTTTCCATGGTCTGGACACATACCTGTCAATAGCTGCTTTATGGGTTTTGCCAGAGAATCACTAGGAGCCTTGATGTAGTATGGGTACACTGTCTCCAATGTTCTGGAAAAAATGAGAAAGCAAATATTTCATATTTTTATACCTCTAAAATAATTTAGAAATACCTATACACAGTTCCCAGTAATTCTTGGCTTAAACTATGATTTTATAGTGTTCAGATGTCACATCTGAAAGCTAGCTGGATTTATTAACTATGTTCTGTCAGTACTTCGGCAGGGTGCTCCATCCATAATGTTGCCATTCACATGCCATGAATCCCACACACCTGGGGCACGTGTTTGCAAGGAATGTAGACTATATTTTGTTCCTCTTTTTAAGAAAGCTGCTTTTATAGTCAGCTATATAAGCAGCACAAAGAAAAGCAACACATCCCCAGTAGTAAACAAGCTAGAAAAATATGCAGCTAGAAAAATATGTGGTGACAAGAGTTATTACTTCATAATTACAAGATATTTTGATAATAACACCTGAAAAGAGTGAGAATTTTGTGCCAGAATAATTCACTGGTAATCATTCTTACAGCTTGTAGGAAGATTTCAAATATAAAAATAAAGATGTTTGTTTGTAAAAGTTCTTCCATTGGACTTAAAATTGAATCACCTTAAGTGGAATAAATTACCAGCATCCACAGCGAGAGACATTTCAAAGCAGAGATACTGTCCTAACTTTTTCCTCAAATGACTGAAAAATTCTAGGCAAGGGTAGCTCTCAGGGAAGTCCTGTGACACTTTGCTACATTGTGTACACCAGGCTGAGGAAGAACAGAGGTGGCCAATTTAAAATCCTTTCTGATGACTCCAGCAGGTCTGAAAGATAGGTGAGAGCTCAGCAGCTACGTTGTCCCAGCAGAGGTGGTGGCAGAAAGCTCCCTGTTGAAGTAGTCTAATGGCTACTAGCTGCCACAACCCTTTTTCTTTTATGACAAAGTAAAAAAAGCTTAAACTGACAATATTATTGCAACACATGTAAATGCAGGTATATCTTCTAGGTTACTGCTTGCCTCCTGCAGAGAGAACTATGAATGAATTACCTCTTCCCAAAAAAGAACAAAATCTACTCTCCTTGGCACTACATCACCTTAGGAAATATTTCCATATCCTCACACAGCAGAAAAGTAGAAGAGGCATAAAATATTTTTAAATGAAATGATCAGATGTGCAACAACAGTCTGTTTGGATGTACAAGTGTGCGTGGGCACAGAAAAACAGCTGCGCACAGGAGACAAATCTCATTTCCACCTACTAACAGACAAGAATCTCTCAGAGTTTTCACTATCCCAGTTGGCCTCAGCTTTAACTTTTCAGCTCTTGTGGCCACAAATCAGATCAGGTGGCCTTCAGGGATGACATGTTGGCTTAGCAGTATTTAGAGACTACTGCTGTAAAGTAATCCCCAGTGAGCAGGTGGAAGAGGAAGAGCCAGACTCCTTTCAAATCTAAAAGGAGGCACCACTGCTGTTAATGCTATAAGGCTATATCCATAGAATAATGTTTGATATCCATATGAAAAGCATGCTCTTTCCGCCTTGCAAATTTCCATTACAGGAAAAGATCTGATGTCAGAAGCGACTGCAGATGTTACCCTTTGACTGCAGTGATTTAACATTTCCCTGCCAATCTAATACTATTCAGGAATAACAATAAGAAATACAGTCTGGATGGTTATTTAGAACAAAAAAACCATCAATACAACATTCTCAGATCAAGTGGAACTGAAGTAACTCAAAGGAGAGTTTAACTGTGAATATACTGTAATAAACTTGTGCTTATCCAGTAAGTCAAAGAAAAGTAACTAATAGCTTCACCATGCTTACTGGTGGTGTTCCAGTGTTCCTGTTCTTCTCAGCCTACATTTATCACAGGAAATAAGCTTTTACCTTTAATGTTACTGCTATGTGACTTCAGTGCTGTTGGCCTCTGCAAACAAGGCTCCAAAGTTATTAGGGGAGAACAGATGGGCAGACAACAATACAGCTGCACACTCTTGACCTCCTTAGGAGATTAGGTTTAAAAAGGGAAGGTTTGCATATGAATAGGCAAAGAAAATAACTTACACCTTTTCCAGTTGCTGTCCAGACATCATTGTAGCAATATCTCTTCTGGTGTTCTCTGGTAGGACAAAGGTAAGTTTATCTGATGCTATTTCAGCTTTGGCACCAAGGGTGAGATTTCTGTTTTAAGTAAAAGGGAAGACACATTAACAAGCTACAATGAGAGCATAACCTAAACACTTGTTTGCTGAATGCTAGAGCTAGTTATCTAACTAGTCTAACTGCTCTGACCCTGGCTATCCCAGTTTTTGCTAAAGCAAGCATCATGCTACCTGTACCTGAGATGGTCTGTTCTCCCACAGAGGATATGTAGCAGCCTTAAAGGTGTATTCTTGTAATTGACTGTGCCTTTGTATGAATTACATGACAATGACAACAGATTAATATAATTTTGCTCACTACATCAGTCAAAACAGAATGGGAAAGGGAGCATGCCTGTGCTGACTTTAGGCACACATTTTGTGCCAGGGCAGCTAAGAATGCTGCATTCACCTACAGCTTCCCAAAACCCCACCTCAGCCCAGCAGAAACATATGGCTAACATGCTGATAGGACCCCCATGCCTCCCTCGAGTCTTCACACCAGCTGCACAACACAGCTGGGGCGGGATCAGCTTTCCCATGATGCCCTGTGCTGTGCCCTGCGGTCAGGATGCAGCAGTTGGGTGAGGCAGCTCTGGGGCTGCAGAGAAATGTTCCCAGCAGATGATGTGCAAAGGCAAAAAAAGCATATATGCTGCCTGACAGCTGCTTGTGGTCTTCTGGCCTAGATGAAGACAGCAGTTTCCCTTTATGGAGAAAAAGTGGAAGATCGCTGTGGTAAGTCTTTACCATTTTCAGTCATTCAGAGTCACAATGTAATCCACAGGATATAATTTGCGGGTGAAAAAGGTGTCTTTCAGCTAGTGTATGAATGTTTGTAGTTATGCAAGCATATGGGCAAACTGAGTAGGAGTATTAAAAATTAATACAAAGTTCAGAAATGATGGAGTGATGTAATTCACTAGCTAATACTGTATGCTTCCAGGAAAATAAGGGGGGTCATATAAAGTTGAATTAAGGGTGTAGCTTCATTACAAGCCTATTTTTGACTGTGGAAGGACTGACCCAGCACGTTCAGAGCTCTCACGGTGATACAGCTGACCTGCTGCTTGTGCACAGTCTTTTGCTGAGGATTGTTATAACAATCCAGTGTCTGCTTCCAACAAAACAGGTAGATACTGGGACTGCAAAAGTACTTAATTTCCATGGAGTGATGACTTAAGTCCAATTTAATCCAGCTGGCAGACAGTAGCCAACAAACCACCTCGGTGACTGGGTGTACTCACCTGCATGCAACTACTTAGTATTCTAGGCTGTCTCAAAAAAACTTCATTGTAAAGTAATAGTTCACTGAGACCAAAGGAACCACAAGCAAACAGGAAAAGGTCTTGACAAAATGGATCTGTGCCATTGTTATACTATTTGCATAACAAAGTCTCTGAGTATATGTGTATTTAAAAAATAGTTTGTGTCAGTTCCAGATGCCCTTAGTAAGAGGATCAAGCACTTCTGTTTGTATTTCCTCATAGTTTTTCTGCCTTAATGAGGTCTAAGTATTCAGTTTCCACAAATGCTAACAAGTTGTTATTTAGGGGAGTTTATTTGAACATCTCCATCTAAAACTTGCTAAAATTTTCTTACTTTTCCCTCCTTCCCCTTAAGTCCCATTAAAAACTCCACCCTGCCTTTTTAAATAATGTACTTGGAAGTGGCTCCACTTCTTTTTTTTTTTTTTTTTTTTTTTGTGAACTGCAGGCAACAAATGTTTTCCTAGGTAACCAAGGTCATTTCTCTCTGCCTCTCTCACTCCCACTTTCAGGGTTTTTTTTTGCTTTGCAGTAAAACAGAATTTGCTGAAAAACTAAACCAATGATGCAGCATGGAACTGTTCTGCTGAGCAAAATCTTGGCAATGATCCATCAAGCTCATAACAGCCATGTTAATTACCTTTGAATGCTCCATGAAAGAACTACAGTGAACTCAGCTGAAAAATCCAGCAGTCCCTGTATCATTTTCTGTCTACTTGGAGGGCTGATGGTCCATAAAGAATTTGAATTTCCCTCTAGATCTGCTAGAGTTATATCTTCTTTTCCATAGCCCTCTAGAAACTGCAGAGCAGCCTGTAGGTGCAGAAGAAAAGAAAAATTCAGTGTGGTTATATTCACAAGACACAGAGCCACATTTCCGAGATAGGGCAGAATTGTAAATGTTTGATTAATTGTAAGTGCAGTGGTTTGCACTGATAGTTTTCCTCAGGTACCAACTGTGGGTTTAGACAGGAAGGGTAATAAACAAAGTATAGCCGAGCTAAGAAGGCAAAATGAAAATGGCCCTGCCGTTTGAAGAATGATGGCCATGAAGGCCAAAGTGAGTCTGAAAGTAAATCAGGTAAAATCTGTACAGTCTATTTAAACTCAAGTTAAAATTTTGTTCTTTCTTTTGTTAAGCATCTTTCTGCATATAAAGTTGCCTGCAAAGGATAAGGAAACTTGAAAATGGTAACTTCCAAAGTGGATCAAGATTACAATATTACTGCTATAATACACAGGCTATTCAATAGTATCTAATATAAAAAAATGTTAATTCTTGAATGGACTAGAAGCAAGCACTTCTTTTAAAGTTGTATCTGATCAAACCACAGTATACTTTAGTAATGCAACAGCTTCTACTAATTACTATTAATTTCCTGTAGAAATTCGTGATAACTTTGTGCATGTTGCACCATGAAACGGTGAGACTATGTTTAAATATTTATGTTTTGACATTTTAATGTCGAAACCTTTCTAGGCCATACAGACTTACTTTTGACAGCAACATAGCTCCTCAGTGGGAGGTGAAAGCTCTGCATGCTGTAGGAAGGAGCACGTGGCTTAAAGGTGTCAACACTGTTGTGTCCCCACAGCATGTTTGTTTTGGTAGTACACCAACACCATCACATCTCCTGAAGGTTTTGTGTCATTCACGGGGGAGGTTTTTGTTCGGGCAACAGGACAACTAAGATTTCTATCTTCCATGATTTTGTGCAAAGATGTCTCAATTAATGGTAACCTGCTCTACCATAACCCAGCTCTGCTCTGACAAATGATCTGTCCGAACCTTTACTCATGCAAACCCTCTTTATGGAAACATCTCCCAAATGGCAGTGCTGCTGACCACTTATAACTACACAAACAAAACACATAAAAGGCCTCCATGGAAACATGCACACATTTTTAAGTAATGAGGTATTCTACATTTCACTTACAGTGTTACCCCTATAGCTTCCCAGAAATGCATTGAAACCAGTCTGATTCAAATCCTTGAGCTGACTCTGTTGAGCACTCATTGTAAAAATAGGCTAGGAAACAAAAGAACACACACGTCACATTTACTTCACATCAGCTGCTACATACACAGTAAAGCATCCTGTACATCACAGTCCAAGACAATTATGGCACTCAAATCAAGAGAAGGTGGTCATGATTTTATTCCACTGAGAAGCAAGGTACTTCCAATTATCTTATATTTACCATGCGGACCTGTAGGCAGTTATCTGAGTGTACCTGATGTAGGATAATTTATTCAGATTTCATTGCCAGTAGGTTCTGGTTTTAACTGGCAAATTAAGGTAATATTTTACATCAGTGATGAACTAACATGGTTTTAAACCCAAAAGGGATCACTTGTGGGAGCTTGCCTGATCTCTTGCATAAGGCAGGAGAGTTTAATTCAATGAAAGGAATAAAAAATAGCACAAGGAAATACAGTGCAAAACCAGAATTTGCTTTTAATTTTTCTTCTTTTTTTACCTGATAACCTCCTAGAGTTATTGTGATTGAAACATCTAGAGGCTTGTTGGTGATGCCTGCAACAGATTTGATTAAAGACATGAAGAGCAGTGGGAACCAGACAATACAAATCAGCAAGACGATAATCATGCCACCCATTCCATACTTCACAACTTTCTTTTTCTTCTGGCCTCTTGGTTGGGGATATCTCTGCAAAAGCAAACGGGAACATGGTAATGTCTCTTCTATATCAGAGGTACACTTCTTATGATTTGATGGGTGAATATATAATGATCTTAGGGCTTCCCATCTTCTGGGGTAATTTGCTACCCATTTTCAGGCCAGTTATTTTAAGATTTTTAGCCAAACCTGTTCTGACACTGAATTTGTGGTGACAGCAGAGAAAAGTGCCAAATTAACCCATGTCAAGTGTGTGTCTGGAGTGAAAAATCTTGTAAAACTCTGTGGTCTTGATTCTTCACAACCATAAAGAAGGGGAAAATCAGGTAGGGTAATCTGAGTTTTTTTGTCTGAATGAGTGCAAGCATGAACTCACAAGAACCAAATGTAAAATAATAGCAGTAACAGTGATATAACAATTTGTTAAAAAAACTGATATTGGGAGTGATCCACTTTCTTGTATTTGTCCTAAAAAGTTTTATCTCAAAGCTCCTTAAGGCAGAATTCCTCTCGTAGAGCTTGAAATGCTGCAAACTGTATTTCAGGGGGAAAACAAATAAATTTGTTTGCCAGCAACTGACATGCACTATCATCAGGCTTATCTGATATTGCACTACCTCCACATTCATTTCACATCTCACATACAGTATTTCTAAAAATTGTTCACAGGCTTGATCCAATCTGTTTCTAGTGAATCCCACACCAACTGCATCTAAACAATGTTTAAAATTTTGTTGGTGTTCCTGAAGTCTTGATGCTGCTGATGTAACGTCCTTCCCTTTCTTAGCTTCTGAGACCAAAAGTGACTTAGCTTTTATCCTTCTCTTTTCAAAGCAGATCACACTGCACAGCGGTTCTATCTTGTACATAATTCTCACCTTCTATTACTGGCCTCATGATTGAATACTTTAATAGCTTCACCATCCTGTAAAATACCTTACTGTCACTGTAATTAATTTTTGTGTATTCTCTTATAGGATTTAACTCTGCATAGTGTTTTAGGATCCTGTCTTTCATGCACTGCATACTGCATGTGCAAAATAAAGATGTATTGTATTGCACTGCACCTCAAACACACACCAGGAATCTGGCTTTCAGGAAATTGTTCTTGCTTTACAACATGAATCCATAAAGCCCTAGGAGAATATTAAATCTGTAATACAATGCTATATTTAAAACAAATTAGTTACTTTTCAAAAGCAGTGTATCAAGTCATTTGTCTTGCACTACAGAATACTGTTTTCATTAAAATATCATATCAAGATCACTAGGGGTATATTAGTTGCTTGTATGAGATTAGTTCAGGCACCTTTAATGATGTTACAGAACAGCTCAGAGAGTCTCTAGCAGCCAAAGTACTTGGGCATACCACTCAATGTGAGAGAGAGACAATCAAACTACCTTAAACAACACTCATAAAGTCATGGGTAGTTATTTTGCTACCTGGCATTAGCACACATATGCTAGTTCACACGTGGAAATCTTCCCACATTGGATCTACACTGCACATAATGCTGAGTGATAATATTGGAGCATAAAAAAAAGACTCCTGAAGCCTCTGATGACACTCTGTTCATGGCAGAAATGGAAGTAATGCAGAAAAAGCCTATATACAAGATTTGTGTGCACTTCAGCTCTGAGTTAATCCAAGTGACATACTTAGAAAGTAATTGCCATTAAGAGACAGGATTATAATAAAAGTAGAAATACGTCAGTAACACTTAAAAATACAGCTGTTTCATTGCAGATGTATAATTTATGACTGGTTGGGTCACTCTTAAAAGAATGCTTAATTTCTTTTTCAAATTGTAAAAATAAGCAAGCATATGGTTACAATCTTTATAGTGGTTATAAGGAATCCAGAATTTGCACGTTTAATTTGAACTGAAGCTTAAGTGATTTAAAGAGACTGAAATTTCAGTCAGACAAATGGTGGGTTTCTCTGGCCTGCAGTTCACTTCTGGACATGTAGGGACTCTTCCAAGTTAAAGGAGTCAGCTGAGTTCCCTCTGTGGTTACATGAACCAGGTGTCTCTGGGACCTACACAGTGGAGGCACGAGCTCTTCCTTCTACTGACCTTCCTCTCCAGCTACAGTTTCCCTGCTACTGTGGGTTACTCATTTAGTTGTTATGGAAAAAGTGAGCCTGTGTGAATACCAGAACCTTCAACCCCAGCCTTGAAACTCAGACATGCAATTAAGCTAGCAGGCACATGCTTGTGGAGTTCATGCTAATGGTGGAAAAATCAGCTAGGCACAAAAGAGAAGCCATTTGAAATTTCACTTGTGGTGGCTGCCAACTAACATAAAGTACCCAATAGTCTGCATACTTCTGAACATAAACACCAGGTGTATCTTTTAACAAACTGTCTTTATGGTGGATTTCCCAATTATTTAGGGACTTGTGATTATTTCTCTTAATTTCTGCATGGGGGAGAGGAGGCCTGGATCACTCATATGGAGCTTCCTTACTTTTTCTGACTCTCGCCAACACTTCAGGATGAATATATGAGCATAGATATCTTCCACACAGATCCAGCTGGAAAGACTGAGAGTGGTATCAGTCCAAACCCAGTCCATTACTGCTCTCAGCTCAGTCAAAAATGGAACCAGGCGGAACCTGAAAGGAGATCACAGCAGAAAACTTGTCAGAAATGGGGGGGGGATCACATTAAACGAGCACAGTAAGTGTATATATGACAAGAGAGACAATTAAGCCAATGTTAAAAGACAGTTTAATAGGAGATTTTGCAAACACAAACACCATTACACTGCAGGTACTGATGTTTTGGGGGTGGTATCTTTTGCTACAGCTCATGTTCTTCTAGATCTCCTTGTCAGGCTATAAACATGCTTTTGCATCATTATGCCTAGTAATTGTGATTGAGCCACTGATGGAACAGTACAAGAGAGACTTTCTTGTATTCCCAAATTCCTCTGACCTGGGAGCAGAGTAAAGGAACATCCTTTCCACAGGGTGGTGGGAATGTGTTTTACACCACCTTACACCAAGTAGTGCATGGCTTCTTTGCAGTAGGTGGGCATATGGAACTGGGCGTTATAATTCAGGATTAAGGAGCAGAAGAAGGTGGGCTAACAGCAAACATGCATATGGCAGCTGTTCAAAGTGCATCATTCCTCCTACTTGTCCCACACTTTTCTCCTTATCCAAGTCACAAAGACTATTTCATGTGAAGAAAGTTTACTTCTGTAACTTTTCCTACTGGAGTGCAACAAGCCCACACTGAAAATATGGGGAAAAGGCTGAAATTATTACAGCTTTTCTGTGCAATATGTATATGCTTTGAACTGGCTTAGTCAAAGCATCATGGTAACAGCATAAGTGGAGGGTGAATTATGCTTCCTTCACTCCGCCTTTCACTCTGAGGTGACCTCTGCCTGTTACTTGCACTAACACTTCTAATTCCTGAAGAGTTTCAAAGTGCACCACTTCTCAAAAGATACACAAAGGAAGTATTTTTTGATGCATAGCTCTTATTCCTCACATGTATTGTCTTTCACTTTATTCTTCTCACCTGCTGAGGCAGAGCCTGTAGACATGTCCAAAGATTAAGATTTCTTTGGTATTTGATGCCTTATTACTTTTTAGGACTGCAGGGCAAATAACATTACCTGTTTTCTAGCACAATGTGTAGCTCCTATCTCTGTTCACAAAGGTGATTTCTTATAAGTGCCTCTTCCATAAGGGCCTGAATGGCTGACTGGTATGTCAGGCTTCTGGATTCAGAGTGGGAGACTAATTTTTCTGAAATTTGCATTCCTGAAATTTATTTTTTTGTGGACTACAGGGGACATATGGCATATACAGAGTGTGCTGTACAAAATTTACTGTCTCATTTCCAGCAGCCTGTGAAGAGAAGTCATTAATAACCCCAGCATCTCATTATAACAGATCCTTATTTCACAAAAGAAAGGAGGAGGGCAGTAGGTCTAGACTTACCCTTGAAATAAGAACAGGTTGACATAGTTATAACTTTTTGTGAGGAAGTTGCCAAGAACACGAGTTGGATATCCGCAGCGTATCTGATATGCTGATAAGCCAAAATAAACACATTTCACAAAATACCAGAGCTGGGCAACTGTGTTCTGGCTAAATTTCCTGTAATGGAATAGACAGATAAAGGAAAATTATGAGCTTTGTATCTGTGTATGATCAAATTAGCTTGAAATGTTTTGTGCTCCTGGCAGCTTCCCTTTCCTGAGATGCTGTGATATTTTAACCCACTGCAGGGTTAAAACAGTATTTGAAAGATGGTGGATGAGAAAGTCTATAAACAGCATCTATTGTCACCTCAGGGTTGCAGAGGAGAGACAGGGAATAGGTTTCCTGAAGAGTGAGGGCTCTGGGGCAGTGCCCTTTCCCTCTGGATGCTAAAGGTGCCTCACTGCCCAAGACAGGCCAGTCTGTCCTCATCCCCCATGATGGCACATCCTTCTGTGAGCCCTGGGTAGACACTGCTTCTCTTGGCTTTTCAGAGGGATGACATCTGGACTGAATCTAGGCAGGTTTAATGGCTATTTGTGTTCACAGGGGCACCTTCAAGGTCCTGAACCCATACAGGAATTTAAGTTGGAGTGACCTCCAAAAATCATATTTTTCACCCTCCTCTGCTTGAATCAGGTCTAATTACACCAAATTGTTCTGACCGAATTGTTCACAACCTGTCTGGGCAACTTGATGCAATGTTGAACTACTGTCATGGTGAAAAGATTTTTCATCATATCTAACTGAAATTTTATTTTTTTTCCAACTTGTGACCTCTTGTCCTATCTGAACAGAGCTTAGCTTCTTCTCAGTCCCCTCTTAATAGGTATCTGAAGATAGCTTTTCACTTTCTCTTCTCCAGACTGAACTAATCCTGTTCCTTCAACCTCTCCTCACATGTCATGTGCTCCATCCCCCTGACCATCTTGGTGAATATGTGCCACTTTTGACTAAAGTTCAATAACATGGTGGAACGGCAGGAGATGCCTCATGATGGACAGGATTTGTGAGCCAGACATGATCCAATATTTACAATTACATCCTGCAAAACTATTTTCATTAAGAAATTTGAAGGGGCTTCTATGAATCAGCCTGACTTAGAAAGAATATAGGAGGTTTCTGATGCAGATTTGAGATTAATAACTTGATATAAATTTAATAAAAGCACAGAGAAAGTCAAAACTATTTTATTGCCTTTCAAGTGACCAAATCAAGTCAAAAGTTTTGTATCAATTCTCAATGCACACTAGATAAGAGATCCACTTGAAAAAATGTATTTTTTTTCAAGTTGAGACACAATTACTATTGCACTGAGGAAAATTAAAACATTTGTTTTTGAGAGGAAATGAGACCTTTCAGACTTGCTTTATGCTATGCAACTATTTTGTTTTTTTCATAGTAAAATAATTTGACTGTTAACTAAGTATAGTGCGCCCAAGTGACACACTCAATTTCCCTGTATAGTCAATGGAGTGAGGTAAATCATAGAATCATAGAATGGTTTGGATTGGAAGGGACCTTAAAGATCATCTAGTTCCAATCCCCCTGCCATCAGCAGGGACACCTTCCACTAGATCAGGTTGCTCAAAGCCTCATCCAGCCTGGCCTTAAACACTTCCAGGAAGGGGGCATCAACAACTTCCTTGGGCAACCTGTTCCAGTGTCTGACCACCCTCACAGTGAAGAACTTCTTCCTAATATCTAATCTAAACCTCCCCTCTTTCAGTTTAAACCCATTTCCCCTTGTCTTGTCATTAGTTGCCCTTATGAAAAGTCCCTCCCCAGCTTTCTTGTAGGCCCCCTTCAGGTACTGGAAGGCCGCTATAAGATCTCCCCAGAGCCTTCTCTTTTTCAGGCTGAACAGCCCCAACTCTTTCAGTCTGTGATAACTGCCTTGAGCCATGCAATGAGAAATGATATACCTGGGAGTGAACTATGTGATACAAGATTTCATGCAGCAGGTGACCACCTCCACATTGCCTCCAGGGCCACGTGGCAGGAGCAGGGGAGAAGAACTTTTGTTCTTCAGAAAAGACCTGGGTTTTAGACATCCTCAGTCTAAGGAGATTTAAATCCACAGTTCACACATTCCAGAAAAGTGCTAAATTATAAGTTACTCTGAGAGAGACATTTTCTACTCACTCTTCTAAACCAGCATGCAGCAATCTTGGGAGCAGGGAACCAAATCAGAGGCCAACATTGTCTCAGCTGAGGACTCTAATCACTCAATTGCAGGCAAGTTCTCTTTCACCTGCTTGCATTTTGGCCTAAGTTGAGAATATTTCTGTACATACTTATATAATTAATTCTTCCTCAAACTTATGCTGGCCACGGTTATTGCTGTGGAAAAGCACTCCAACATCCTGCTTAGAAATGAGACCAAGAAGAAACCTGTTCATGATTCCAAAGCTTAGCTATAACCATCTCAAATTCACACAACTCGGTAGAGCATCAGTACTCAACACATATTGTCAGATTATAAGGGTTATACCTTTCTGTCACTCCAGGCAAGATAAAGAACATCCAGAAATGTATTCCAAAAACAAGGATGACCTGGAAGATGACCTTTCCCATGACAGTCTTTTTGAGGTACAGTGCTCGATCTACCACCATGGTACCAAACTGAATGAGCACCATCACCAAAAATGCCTCCGGGACCTGGTCCTCTGATAATGAAGAGGTAATATCTGCTGCTGCAGAGTGTTTCTGAAAAGGAAAATATAACAGTGGTCGAGGAAGGAGGACACTTACATGACACTTAACATCTACAGCATGCAATCCTACTGAGGGTTTGTACATAGATGCCTCTGTGACATACCCCAAAAGCCCAAAATCCAAACACTATGATGATGAAGTCCACTGTATCTGCTAGGAACATCAGGACATACACATCAGTCACTGCACTGTAGTCTGGATGAATAAGGTTGTAGAAAAACTGTCTGATGGGCACATACACCTGAAGAGTCCTGAAACAACATAGACCATGTGATTTAACAACACTGTAACTTGCACTGAAGAAAAGAATGGCTGGGAGTGATATGATAAATGTTTCTAAAGATACCTAAGAGCTACTCTAACAGCCTTCATAGTGCTTCACAAACACCAGTCCCTTGTTCTGATTGCTTCTAAATCACTGTATTAGCATTTGTTCAAGAGAAATATACAAAGCCAACCAAGTTCACACAGGGTATTTAGCTATTTTATCAGGCAGAGGCTATTTGAACAACTGCTGATTTGTCTGATGTTCAGGTGGTGGGACTTAGAGTGAAAGCATCTGCATACAATGAACTGAATACATACCCATTCATTCCCGTAAATTAGCAGTAGTAGTAACTTGCTCTCTTTAAAATGCTGGTTTACTGCTTTACTGTTTGGAACCTCCCCCCAAACCCACATAACTCCTCACATTGCTCACTTTTTAATTGTAAAGGCCTTGGCTTTGATCATTTGTTCTCGAAACTTTTCCATGAGAAGCTCTTTCCTAGATTTTTGTTTGATGCTTAACACACTGCTTCCTTTCTGACTGCTGTTTCGTGTACTGGTACTTCCTGGAAAAAAAGTGGAAAGAGAAGCTAATTCAAAATCAAAATCTAAATAAAAATATTAGAAAGCAATAAATCTTGAGACTTCCATCCCATACATGAGTCTCACGTTTGAAAGAAGCTTTGAAATGAATACTTATGCTCTTCTTCAAATATGATAAAATCTTGAGAGCATCCAGTAAAGGTTTAATCCCTGGCAGATCAAAATTTGATTAATAACTACAAAACCAGAAGATTAGTGATAAAGGCACATATTTGATTGATCCGACTCAGTTATCTCAATTCTTAATACATATATTTGGGCTAGAGTAAGCCCGCCCTTTTTACAAGATGGGATAGGATATCTGTTTCAATATACCTAGTCAAAACTTTTTTTCACTTGAAATATGATCAAATGTAGATATGAAAAAGACATATGCTTTGCATTCCCTCTAGCTGGTGATTATGCTGAACCAGAAGTTCTGGATCTAGGCCACACTGAGCATTCCTTCCCCAACTTTTGGATAATGTCATTTTAAAAACATTGTGAATCACAAATTATGGCTCTCTATTTGAACTTTAAGAAGGCTTGGAGTGTGTTCAAACATTAAGATAGTTTGGTTCATATCCTGTTTGCTCACTGAGAAGCAGCAGCGTCCAGTAGCCTCTGGGATCTCCACAACAACCGGCACAAGGTTTCAGAAGGATGACCCTTCTGGGAAACGAAAGTTTGCTCTTCCAATCCCAGAAATTCCATGACATTTACCTCTCTTAGATCTGTGTGAGGAGAAGCTGGACCTGTGCGAAAGCTGTGACACGCTGCTAGAGCTCTTCCTCCTGATGGCCGTCTGCTGCTCAGGGAAGTGGACATGGATAGACTCCACCGATGCCGCAAGATTGACAGATTTCAAAGAGGTAGAAGAGTCTCTCCTGCCTCCTGTCAGAGAGAGCTCATCATCAGTATCCTCTTTATTACTGGAGCTGTCCCCTTTCTCATCTTCATCCCATAACCCATGGCACTAGTGGAAAAAGAAGAAGAGAGTATTTAAACTTTGTATTTCTGTCAGTCACAGTATTTATCACAGGAACTGCTAAGGTCAGTTATGTGTTCACAAGGGGAAAGACAAATTCATTGTGTTGGGATATCATAGAATCATGGAACGATTTACAATGGAAAAGACCTTTAAGATCATCAGGTCCAACCATTAACCTAACACTGCCAAGTCCACCACTAAACTATGTCCCTAAGCACCACATTTACACATCTTTAAATACCTCCAGGGATAGTGACTCAGCCGCTTCCCTGGGCAGCCTGTTGCAGTGCTTGACAACTCTTTCACTGAATAATATCCAAATGACTGACTTTCCTATATCACAGGAGTGACTGAAAAAAACTAAAACTAAAAATTAAATATAAAATAAAAAACTATATTAACTCAGATTACCTTTAAAATGGATCTGTGGAAGAATAAAGCAAGGAGCTGAACAAGATCATAGTGCACATAACCCTCTTTCTTCTCAATGCCAATAATATTGGGTGGATGGTAAGGTTTATCTTTAGTGTAATCCACATATTTATTCCAAGGAAAGAACCCAAACTGGAAGAAGTACTTGATGACAATGGTCACCTGTTCAGAAACACAACACACTTGGGGTATTTATAAGCATGGCAGATATAATAGCCTTGTGACCTTAAGAGGGGAGAAATATGACTACTTTGTCAGTTTTAAGGGAAGATAATCAAGCATATTAATTGCTACAGAGGAACAACAGTTCACATTTCCTCAGTAATAAAGTCAATCAACATTTACCAACAGATGATGCTCAGTGGTACCTGAGATACCACAAGCAGCATACACTGTCTCTTGATTACCAATTACATAGTAGCTGTTCACAAAGTATCTGCTCTTGTGATAACTGCTTGACATGCCAGGAAGGATATTGCTCATTGCAATGAAGAAAAACACAAACAAAACCTTTTCATGCCACAGAAATTGCTGAGGACTTTCGCAAATATTTATATTAATATGAAGGGCCAAAGGCTCCTGATCCTAGAGATCAAAACCAGAAAAGAGACTGTGCAAAGCTTACGACTTAACTTTTCTGTATTAGACACCGGGTTGCAAAAACAGCAGCATACCTCAGTATAGACAATGGCTGTCATCCAGAAACGTTTGCTTGGACGAGGAACAGACAGCATGGCCCAAAGGAATATAAGTATGGGAAGCACCAGGGTTATCATGGAGGCAGAGACCATGTGGTTAAGGATGATCACAAAATAGCACACCATTTCTGACCGAGCTACCAGTGTATTGTACAGGGCATAAATAAGAAGCAAGACTCGAGGCTGACCAACGTAGAACTTCTCTGACTCCTCCAGCTCGTCATCATGAAACATCCTGTGAGAAGCAGAAATGAGAACTAATTTCACAACAGTTGCCTTTTTAATTACTACTATTTACTGTTGAAAAAGTATAAAATTCTGCTGGTGAGTCCAACAGAAATAAAAAAAAAAAAGAAAAAGATATGATTTGGTATCATAAACAAATAGTCTGATTCCAAGTTCAGAAAACAAGAATTTCTGGCAAAATAACAAGAAACACTGTTCTGCTGTTTTTCAATTTACCCAGAGGGTTGGCCTGGCCCAACAATTTCTACAAGTGTCACTTTCCTACAGTTGCCAAACCAACATATCTCATGTAAATCAAACCGTGCTGGTGTGGCCCTATCTGGATTCATACCTGATTTATCAACACAGATAGGAATTTGGAGAAACTCCAGAGGTCCATCAGGAGACCTATGTTATTAATAGTCCTGTGACATAAGTCCAGAACATAATAAATGCCCTTGAGCATTAGATGTGTCCAATCTTCTCCCCTTTGCCTAACTCAAATAAATATAAAAGGCAGCAAGAAATTCATATATGACTTTCACAGACATCCATAATTATCTTTGCTTTACATAAGAAGTGCCCTGGCCTGAGAAGATATCTCTCTGAAAAGCAAAAATTACTATGGAAAACCAGAAGAAAAGACACTGTATCTAAAAAGTCAGATCTACTGACTCACAGATCAGTCAATCAGCATTTCTCTCGTAGTGCAGTCTGAAAGGCATTTCTATGGTTTAAGATTCTGCCCTTGCATTTGGGGAAGCTCTCCCCTAGCTGAGTCAGGCTGGAAAGCAGAGTAAAAAGACCAGTGGCACCATCCTCACCTCAAAGCTGGTTGTGCTACTTAGCACAATGTCTGAGGGGCAGAGAGAGGGGCATCCTATTCCTTATGAAAGTACTTAACAAGGTGGTCTCTCTACATAGCCCTCAGCTCCTACTGGCTTATACAAAAACTCTGCCAAAGGTCAGAGTTTCCCTTATAATAATCCAAAATAATTAAAGGAGAAATATTTTCCCAGATAGTCCTGGAGAAAACTTATATGAAATCGCAGCTGCCTGGAGAAGAGAAGCCCTCTCCACAAGGATTATTTAGAAAAGCCCTTGACCCCATGACGATTGCAGCACAGAAATTCGATGCTAATTGGAACAAGTAGCTATGGTATCTGGGGATAAAGCAAAGATTCTTTCCAAAATTAATTTGAATAAGTTTAGAAATCTGTAATTAGAACAACTGCCCAGGAAATGAGCTTCTTCCCTTAAATCAAACTTTGTGCAAGGTCTGCATCAAAAACTGTAGGCTGGTTCTGAGACAAAAAAAGCAAAGTAACGACAAAACTTCACAGACTGGGACCAACAATTTTTCCCTGTCAAAGGTCCTTACTTGTTCAGAAGCAGCTCACTAGCCGTTAGCTCGTGCGTCAATGGAGCGAGAATCCTATCATTAAGTTTGTCCGTCCGACTGTCGTCTGGGCTCACCATCATGAGACTCTTACCAGCTGAGTCATCTGGGGAGCCAAAGGGGAGGTGTTCAAAGCTGACAGCTTTGCTATAGGAAGGTGGAACTTCTGCATTGCTATCCACAGTGGAGTACAATGGCACATCAGTATCAGGAGTGTACGCAGCTCCTTCTGAGCCCAGGCTATAATCTTCCACTTCATCTTCCTCCGGCCTTGGTGCAGAATGAGCTCTTTCCTCTTCATGCTCCCCTTCTACCTCCTCAATGGTTTCAGTCGTCCCCTGACGAGAATAGAGCATGGTGACCTGCGTAGGTTCACTGTCAGGAATGGACGAAGAGAGAGAGTTGAGGTTTACAAGGCTCACCAACAAGCAAAGTTTGTTAATTGTACCTCTATGTAGACAGCTGAGCAACCCCATTGCACTCCCAGGCCTTCAAATTTCATATAATCTGGTAGAAAATATATCATCTTTATTTCCTCTTACAAAAATGAACCATCTGGGTCCATCTGCCCCGAATGATGTCCCAGTGAACTCATAGTGATTCCCTATCTTTTCACACCAGCGAAGGGCAAATTAACATCATTTTCAAGAGAAACTACACTAACTTTCTGAAAGTAGTTCAAACACTTTCTGACCAGAATCAGGACTTCCTATTACATTTATTTAAAGCACCCTCCATGGTGAATGATAGGCCGCCATGGGGTTCCTTCTAAACATAGTGCTTTTAACAACCACTATATGGGTGCTATATACAATTGGAACATGAGCTGAACACAGACATCAAATTTGATTCCAAATAAAAGAACAAGTAAATTGTTAACACGGAGAAATACAATTCAGGTCACAAAACTGTTCCAGTAACAGGGTATCTTGCTTACCTTTAGATTGCCCTATGTTCTTCAATACAGTCTTCAGTTTTATCTTACCTGCCTGCTTTTCCTCTGGATGTACTTATTTTATTTTTCAACTGTTATTCACTCTATTCAGATCTCTGCTTGTTAGCTTATTCTCGCTTTGCATCTTCAAAACCACTTTCTCTCTTAATGGTCTCTGCTCTGCCACAGTCTCAAGTGATGTAAGTTCATGTAGCTTCATGACTCCAAATGGGAATTTGGACACCACAAAATTAAAAATATTTTCTTGGCTTTGCTTTCAACATTTTCATCCCTCACAAGTACTTTTTCACCTCTCCCCTCAGCCCTCACTCTTTATCTTTTTAGTTTCCATTCCAAACTTTCTCCTTAGGTTAGACAATAGGCATCAACTCATCATCAACTCAACTGTCTTTTGTTGACTGCATGTTCTTGTACCTCAACAGAGACAAAACCAGATTTCACAGAGCTCCTATAAAATGAATGGGGCCATATTTTCACTTAAAGTATAACCTTTTAAAGAAAACTGGCACTTGTCGAAGCCAGCTGGCATTACCATCTCCTGCCAAAATTAAAAATTAAGTTTAATCACCTTTTCTTTTACACTGCTTCCAAACTTATTGTGGCTACATTAGATCACTTTATTTCTATCAGACTTTTAATTAGAAGGTGTAACACTATGCCTATTACATAGAATGTGTGCTTTGATGATTCACAGTAGCACTTATCCTGGTTAAAATGCACAAAGCCATAAAATCCCACCATTTCAAAACTGATTGACACCAAAAATGTGTAAAACATTTTAAAAGCTGAAGAAGAACGATCAAATATTCCATAAAATTTCCTATTTACAATATTTATAATACTAGTTGAAACACTGCTTCCCAATGTTATATAAAACCCTAGTTTTCACCTGCTAAAAAGTGAGTGGATGGCTCTGAACAGTTCTCTCTTGCACTGTATATTAATATTATTCCCTATCTTTTCATGGCTATTTTCCCTTTCTTAATTCCAACACCTCACAGACTGTAAATCAATGTTAAAATAAACAAAACATAATTAGCAATCTTTCGTATAACGGGAGAACTAAAAATTGAAAGAGCAGGGCCAACATTTGCCTATCTTAGTTTCTAAAATTAGACATCTAAGTCCATATTTAGGATAACTGATTAGCTGAGAAACTTCACTTCCAGCTTCCAATTTTAATAAGAACAACCATAAGCTCGGTAACTCTGAAAATCAGACTCTTTTTTAGCTGAATAAATTTAGCCTTGTTTTAGGCAGCCACTGTAATGAAATAGAACAACTTTTGAGAATACATGAATTAAGGATGAAAACCAAAACAAAACAGAAGAGAATAAGAAGAGAGTTAGCAAATGAGTCCTAGATTATGACCCTGACTTTGAACCTCAGAGTAGTGGCACAACACAGAAGGGAGAAAAGCTTACATTAACCATGCAAACCACTCTGTACACCACATATCTGCAAATGCAAATGTATGTACACTGCAGTAAGTATAAGGGTATGGGTAAATGAGTGAACAAAGCATGCATGAGTTAAGCACCTTGACACTATACTGCCACTGTCAGCTGATGAGGAGGACATATCCATGCTCTGCATTTTACGAAGCCTAGGTCGAGCGCGCTCACTTGTTTTAGGAACAGTGTCTGGTCCATCTAAATCATCAAGGGTTGACTGCCTTGAGAACAGCATGGTTGCTTCAGTGTAGCAGCTAGCAGCGCAAACAGTTATAAAGACAGTGTTAAATACAAATGATATTACTATACACATGGTTCAATAAACAAATATGCTTGCCATGCAGCAAAACACTGACAAAGAGAAAAAAGATTCAGAGAGAAGATAAGGATTTGCTTAGTGTCACCATATAAACACATTTCTATACACAGACTGCTCATGGCCATATTAATCTAGGGGCTACAGAAGGCTAACAATCATCTATTCACTATTTAAAGAGGTACGAAACCAACACAATGCCCTATATGATTTCCAGGGGCGCCAGCTCACAAAAGTGAAGAGGTTTTATTTTCTTTTTTTCCCTCTGAAATTTACAAATTCCACAAAAACATTTTGGGAAGTGACTTCCTCTGTACAAATTCTATTTTATTAATGATATGTTGTGCTGAACCCTTTTACACAGTTACAAGTCAATTTCCTAAAAGAGTCCTTAAAACTGAATAAGCTCATATTCCACAAATAGAAAAATAGCTGTCAGACATTGGCTTATCCTCTTTCCAAACCTAAGAGCCAAATCGGATATGTTACTTAGCCAGTAGATGCATGCCAAATATAACCTGCTCTGCATGGGATGGCTTTTATTTTGATATTTAGTAGTAAGTCCTGATGATACTTTCCAGAATATTTCATTTATTTCAATCACAGCTTAAAAACTATTTCAAAATTAGAAACATGGATATCTTGAAAGAAAGAACAGATATCATAAACCCTTATCTCCTTTCACTTATCAAGTACAACAGGACACCAGAAACATACACCATACATTGAGCATTTACGTGTTACTGCAGAAAAGAAGAACAACTGGATGAGTTATGAGAAATAAAGTACATAATTAAATACAGGCATATAACATAGCTACAGGAAAGAAGCAAATACATTAATGACATATGGTAGGTAAAAGAATTATTTCTCCTGTAAAAATCTTTGAAAAACACAGATGCCTATGAAATAAGTTGAGGGACCTGGTGTTTTAACACATGCAGTGACCTGCCTGAGTCTTTCAGATAGAATGGGAGAAGACCTCCAAAAAGTGTAGGATTTACACTCTACTTTTCTTATTTTGAGTCCATATGTGCTACACCTGAGCAATAGCAGCAGGGGATTTAATTCCTTGGCAAGCATTATGTTTGTCCAGGGGCACAGAGAATTGGGAAAGAGGTCAGAAGGGAAGTGCAATGGCATTTTCCATGTTACTTTGGTCTTGCTAGCTTGAAGGGAGGAAAAAAATCTGCTGGCATGAAGTCACAGTTTGCAATTATTGCCTTAAGGAAAATGGGGAGGAAAACAGCAAGATATGTAGAGTGAAGAAGCAGTTATTCTTAGGCCCATGCTCACAGATGGTCTTTTTTTGACAGAATGGGCTGATGCTAAAAGAATACTTTGGTCTTTGAATAGAAGAAAAGTATCACCAAGCTACCAAAGATATTGTGAAATACTTTCCTTAAAGACAGTAATAATGGTAGGGGCGCGTCTGTCATGCCAGTTCATTTGGCCAAGACCCTTCACAAGCCACTTCATTATTTCTGTGTGTGTGCAAAGGCACACAAGCATCATCCCGACAAAACCTGGAGGGCATGGCACAGCATTTCCTACTTTTTGATGAAGCAGCAAATGCTGCTTCCTATAGGAACAAGGGATCCACCTTACAGGCCTGATTCAGCAGCATGGAAATCAGTCAGAGTTACTGACTCCAGGGGTCATGAGGGAGGTTTCCCTTTGCACATATGCCTATGGAGTACAGACATGTTGTTAGACTAGCAGTGAGGTTTTGGTGGTAAAATACAGGGAGATGGCAGCAAGTAAACAATCTATTTTTGCAGATTACCATTCTGTCTGTGTGCTACAATGTTATGCACATATTATTTTACACCTCAAGGGCTGAGTTTATTCTTTTCAAGAGTAACACCTCTTACTAAGGTGTTGAAGTCATTTAAATGCAGACATAGTTCAAAGGGAACCTTCAAAGGGCCTTAGGCAGAGCAGCTGTTGAAATAAAAGTAGCATGTAAATTCATAGAATGTATTGGATTGGGAGAGACCTTCAAAGGTCATCTAGTCCAATCCCCCTGCAGTCAGCAGGGACACCTTTACTAGAGCAGGTTGCTCAGAGCCCCATCAAGCCTAACCTTGAACATCTTCAGGGATGGGGCCTCCACTGCCTCTCTGGGCAACCTGATCATGCCCGTTCGTATATTTTCAATGGAAGAAACATATACCAGCTCCCTCCAAAACATTCGAGTTCTGAGCTGGGTCCCAGAAAAATCAAAGGAAAAGCACCTATTAATCCCAATAGACAAAAACATTTGCCCAGACAGAGTCCCTGCAATAATTTGGTTTAAAGCTCTTCTAAATGAAGGATGAATCATCAGAAAAATTATTGACTGAGCAGCTGCTCTGTATCCTTGAATGTCAGGGGACGTGTATGAGATGACACCTGTAGCACAGTCTGTATATTCTTTATGTACTTTAGGAACATGCTTCCAAACATGGAAGAAATGAGAACACCAATAAAGTGGAGAGATTTACACTTGGCAAAGCTGATGTTGACTCAGTCATTGACTATCACATAAATTTAATCCAAGCATATCTTCCTGAGTGACTTTTCAAATTTGTGTCCTTGGAGACCTTGAAAAGCATTAGCTTATTGAAATCAGTCAAGCACTAGGTATTTTAAATTGAATGTTCATTAAAAGCCCTGAGTTCAAGTATTTTCTATAAAGTTGATCGGGTATCCATTTCAAATGGGGATATATATAGCAGAGATGTTTTTATCCTCAGTGAGCAGGAAATTTCTTACTTTATGACTTCCTTTTGCTAAACAAATTTACCCTTCCCAGTGAGTTTATTAGTTTAAGGGGTGACTTACAAATTTTACTGTTTTTTCTGTCCATGGGCTAGTTACTGACTGGCATTACCTTTATGAACTACTACACTCCACACACCTGCAAGAAAAGATCTCAAACATTTCTTATTATCATTCACACTCCTAAATCAGACCCAAATCCTGCCCCAAAGTGGGACTCTACTTTCATGCTTTCTTTCTGTTGCTTCCCAAGGCAAACATTACTTCTCCAGTACTCCCTGCCTCAAGCCCTATTTTTCTATCTGGTGAGGGAAGCACAGGTGAGAAGTGGTGTCTGTAAACGCTCTGACTGCACTTGTATGTTCACTCTTACAGGAGGATCAGGGGCTATAAAAGCTTACAGACAGACAGAGTTGGGGACTGAATACGTTATTTGTGATGGACAAAATTTACTACGAACTGAACTGGGTACAAAACCTTGGATATCCTGAAATATGACTTAGGACCTGTGTCTAGCTGCTATTTCATAATCTTAGGCAAAGTCCCATAAAGGCAGACAACTGGTTTTAGTAATTTCTCAACCATGTACGTGAAATTACCCAGCTTTTTAACCTAATAATCAGTTCATCAGTCAAATGGAAACAAACAGCAGTGAATGCTCTACCATACTAGCTCCTGATCCCTTCTGGTTGTGCTCCTCAAAGAGCTTGTTAAGGATTGACATTGGTCTCTTCTCCTGGCCCATATGAACTTTGCACTTTGCCTTTAGCATACATGAGGGTATTCATACTCTCACATAAAGAGAAACCAAACAATTACATTACTAATACCTCATTACACCTCTAGTTACTGTACAGAAAAAAGGACTAAGAATAAATGACAGCCTGACTAAAAGAGAAAAATCCCACAAAGTATACTCTGAAAAACTCCTTTCAGAGCTTTATCCAGGGTAAGAACAACGTCCCTGGATAAGACTTATAAGGGTAAGTTTGAATTTCACAAGAAATTTACAGTTCCTGCAACTGATCAGGAAGGTTGTTCTCTCTGGAAATCCAGTGTTTAGAGCATTGAGCAGATAACCACAGTAATTCCTGTCCTGAGTTCTGAGGAATATGTTTTATTATAATGGAATAGCTTCTGTGCTTCTACAGCCCTGTATATGTTCAGACATGCCCATCGTATTCA